AACATAAGAGTCGGGTCTCAGCAAGACGTGTTCAACTGGAGATTTCTTTTGATATATTTCTTCAACTGTTTTTTCTTCTTTCTTTTTGGCTCTGCTTGACGAGACAACAACTTCTTCAACAGCTGGTTTCGGTGTTGTGTTAGGCGTTTGTTTCTTACGAGGTTTGTTAGGTGTGTTTTGCTTACGAGGCTTGTTAGGTGTGCTTTGCTTACGAGGTTTGTTAGGTGTGCTTTGCTTACGTGGCATTTTGTAAAGTAGGTTTTTTTTTTTCGAAGAATTTAGAACAGAATAGTGTAAATTTTGATGGATATCATTATATAAGAATTTTTAATTGTGAATTGCGACGTAAAAAAACCCTGTTTACGTTCAATCTTTTTAGATGAAACCGATTAAGCAACAAGATTTTTTTTTCATTACAATGTGTGAGAATATTCCAAAAATAAATTAAACTATGATTTTACTTTTAAGTAAATCGTTATGCAAGACATACATCTTTGTTTTTTAAAAAAAAAAAAAAAATTGATTTTATATAAAAGTCTCGAGATAAGAACAATGAAATATAGATGCATAGAGAGTTCTTCGCTTCTATCATGTGATCATGTGGGAACGCGTTCTATTTATAAAATAAAATCAAGATCAGAAGCAGGTTAATGGTTGACATGATGATCATGAAAACTTGTATTTTACTGATGCGATAAACCTGAAATTATGTGATATCCTTGAACTTATCATTCTGCATTTTGTGGAAATGTAAATCACGTGATTTAAAGAATTAACCGACCGAATTAGAAAAATTTAATCGAAAATTATGAAAAATCCTATCATTTACCGAAGAGAGATGTTACTGGTCATTGTGCTATCTGTGAAAGGGACCAAAAGTTGTCTAACAATAGTGAATATATTTTTTTATAATATACGGGTGCAGATACGTAAGTTATATTATTTCTACTAGTATTTTTTTTACTGTTTTAATTATCCGTTGAAGGAGAATTCGACATAAGATATTATCTTTAGACCAAGTGTTTATTATCAAAATAAAAGAACCTTTAGATTCATTATCTAATCCTATTCTATTCCCTTAAACCATCATTTTTATAAATTCTCTTCAATGATAGAATCACTTAATATGTATAATGTTCTGCAGAAGTTGAATGAAAGATTTGACCGAAGCATGTTTAGTACCCATAGTTTGTTACTCTAGGATATAAACCAATGAACCTATAATAACACAATTTAAATTTAGGTCAAATCCTAAAAGATATCTCAACGATTTGTCAAAGACAATTCCAAAAGGCACGTTTGGTTCGTTTAATTAGTTCCAGTAGTTGATCGTGATGTAATTTCGGCAATATCAAGTGAAGGTAACACAGGCTTATCTATTTTTTCATTTTTGGGAGCGAATATTTATTAATTATTTATGTAATAATGAAATTATTAAAGATAATAATTGATTTGCTACTTACTATTCGGTAAAACTATAACTTGTTAATTTCATTTCAAATATCTGTGTAATTCGTCTTCTTCACAAACTCAATTTCTCCATAGTTACAAAAAAGTTTGTTCCACCTATTTATCTCTACGAACTAGGGTACATTACCTATCTAGTTCTAAATCCTCGAATTTTTATTTGATCATCGGTTTTTCCAGTACACACCGATTTGGGGTCTAAAAGCCCAGTCAGACGACACCTAGATTTTTTTTAACAAAAAAAAAAAAAAAATTTCTAAAAATATGAGGGATAATTAATTTATAAGAACATTAACCACGTAAACTATTATGTACCATTAAAAAAAAAATATTATTTACCATGTCCAATCTTCCTAAATCACCAGTCTTTACTGTATCATTATTGATCGCTAAATCAATCTTCCTTCATAACATTCGCCCAAATGCGCTAATTTTCTAAACTTGATCTGTATCTT